AAAATGATAAATACATTACCAATGCAATCTACCTCAAAGAGTTGTCATGAAAACCAAATAGGAACATATATGAAAACATTTTGAAAACCACTTATCTTTGTTTTGATAACATGAGGAATGTCACCTAAGAGCCTCTAAGTCATATCCCTGTATTCTTGAAGTCTTAGTGTTTTCACTCACAAATCTAATCTTTACCACCATTTTAGATGGTTATAACATCCTAACAAATGATCTATTAGCTCTCTGAATGATTTGACATCAATTTTTTGACTCTACTCATTGCCAGTGACATTTTCTATCATTTCAGTGTTAACTCCCTGGTCACTGTCATTACCAGGCAGAACTCTAGGGAGAGAGGAAAACAGGTTCCAGACTATGCAAGGTAGGCCAAAGAAAAGTTCCTTGGATTTTATTCAAAGTAAAGCAATAAGCCACTGGAGACTTTTAATTAAGGTATGTGGTCTCAAGTATGTTTTAAAGGATTACTCACTGTCATATAAGAACATTTGTAAGAGAATAACAAAATAAAAACTAGCTTACAACGGTGTTACAGTAAATCAGGCAAGATGTCACTGCATATAATGAAAAGAAGTGGAGAAATTCAAGATGCAACTGGCAATAGAAATGACAGAATTTGTTGATGAATTGAATGAACCTTTTATTCCGTAAGCAAATATGAGGAATTAGTTTGCTGAGATGAGATTTAGAAGGATATCTGACAGGAAGGAGTAGAGAGATGGATAGTGAATATTAATTTGAGGTACCTGTGAGATATTCAAATGGAGATATAAAGTAAGCAACTGGATGTAGATGACTTGAGTTTGGGGGAACATGCAACACTACAGTACAAGTTTAATTTTCAGTGTACCAATGCTATTTAACACCATAGAAATGAATGAAAATATCTGAATGCAAAGTAGAAGAAATTTGGGGAGTAGATTAAAAGCTTAGAAAGTTGTGCTCTCTCTGGTGGTGCAACGGGTGAAAGCACTGCATTATGAAGCTCTACGAAGCCACTCCAGCACAAGTTCGATCCCCGGCTAGGGAGCTAACCCACATGGCATGGCAGATCTCTCCTGTCCCACCCACTGCTCCCCTCAGCAGTGTACTTCACTAGACTGCCTGTTCTTGGTCTCTGGTGGATCCTCTCACCCACAGCAACTCTGGCCTGTACCTCAGTTCTGTAACCATAAATAAAATTAAAAAAAAAAAAAAAAGCTTAGAAAGTTGATATAAAGGTAGCAGCTAGCGAGAGGAGGTAAAACCAACAGAGATCTATGTCATACATTAGAATGTTTTACAAAAGAATGATACTTTTTACAAAAGAATAAACAATATTGTATCTGGTAGACAGTAAATTGAAGAATCAAATAATAAGGGGTGATTAAATGTGATTTCATGGAGATAATCAATCTCCTTGAGAATAGTTTCAGCAAAAAAAAAAACAGATTTGAATGTGTCAAGAGTAAAGAAAAATAAAAATGCTAAATACAAGTCTGGAGGCAATATAAAGATTCTTTAAAGACATTTGACTAAAAAATTCAAATGGAGCAGTGGTTAAAGGCAAATACAGGATCAAAAGTACTTTACTTTGTTTCTGCTTTCAGTTTAGAGGTTATATATTATAAACACTGTAAATATATTATTTGTAAAATACATTTTAAAAAACTATTAGAAATTGAATAGTTATAATACTAAACACCTGTGATCATGAAAAACAAAACAAAACAAAACAAAAAACCCAATCAAGTCTACTCTTAGTTTCCCACACATTTATTTTATTTTGAAAGAGGTGATAGTAGGTGTATATGGAGGGGGCAGGAAATCAAATATTACCCTTGGGGTGTTACAGAGAAACCAATTACTTGTTGAGATTTATATTACTAACTGGGTTAGTATAACCTTTTAATAAAAACATTGGATATATTATTTCCATCAGAGGTGCAGTTTCTTTTAATTCTTCTAGCTCACTTTCCTATCTTATTCTGCCTTAATATTTTATCCCTCAGCTCTTCACTCATTCTTATTTGTCTAATAAAAAAAAAAAAAAGAATAGGCTTATAGGTAGTTTTCTTCACACCTTGAGGATGTTGGGAGAGGAGGATACTCACCAATACTCACTCAGGTCAATTACATGTCTTTTTGGATTTACCAAGTTTGTTCCTCTATTAAAACTTATTACTTTTGCCACTTCAGGAATGCCCTTGTTATTTTAATACAGGACTAGACTTTCATAGTAGCTAGAAAGTAGCAGAAATACTTTCATCTAAGGGAACTCAGTGTTCCTCATACTCTTTCTTAAGAGATTTGGCATTTCTTGTGTATATGAGACTGCTGATATTTCCAGACAGGTGAATAAGATGAATTTTCTCACAACACATGGCTTACTGCTCTATCTCAAAGGCAAGTTGGATTCCAGCACAGCTGAATTCCAGCTCTGCTTGAGAGTTGATGATTTAAATCTAGTCCATACCATTTTGAGTTTTATCAGTTTCTGGGAATAGTCTGTGACACTTGTTTACCTGTATCCTCATCTAGCCAATACACACTTGAACACTGAAACATGCTTCTCAAGGGAATAACTTGTATTTCAACTGAACTTCTTAACTAAACTTGAGGCTCTAGCATTGGGGTGGCTGCAGGGCCATATCTCGAGTGATTTGTGGACTGAGTGATATATTCACTGAAGTTGTTTAACATGTCTGTTGCTCCAGTAGGCCAGAATTCCTTTCATGCTTCATTTATTTTTTCCTTCTCCTTTCTCACTTTCTCCCTAAATCCAGATTGTACAGTTTGCACTGAATTGGGGAGGTGTTGGATTTGTAGATAGGAAAAAGTGATTCTTGGAAATAAAAAGGAAAGAAGGGCAGTAGGCTTAGCTGCAGTTATGCCCATTTTCTTTTTAAGCACTGTGTTCCTAGGGAATTAGTCACAGAACTCTCATGCCTCACTAAGTTGAATTATTTTTGAGTTTTTGAAAAAAACACAAGGGTGAGGATAAACACAGATTTGGGAACAAAATAGATAAATAATGTAACTGGATACTAATAACAGCAGTGGTATCACTTTAACTCTTTAATTGAAAATAATATTGTTGAAAATTTCTTTTACTTCCTTCATACTACAGAAAAATAATATTCATCTTTCATATCCTTACAATGGCATATTTGGGTGGTAAGATAAAAATTGTATTTTCAAGTTTCAGTTTGATTACCGGTTATTCTGGTTATTCCACTTGCAGTGATTTCACAATTCAAAAAATACTGAAGTGATGCAGAGGTAAGACAACACTGGAGCCTGATCCAGGGCTTAACTGACAGCAAAATACTGAATGAAGTGAAGGTGGTACTAAAGAAAATCCAAACTTCATTTTTGAAATGTTAGTGGCAACTTAGTTAACAGGGAATGGGAGGTTTTATTTATCTGATCAGCTCATGAAATCCTGAGGATGAAATAATGAAGACCAACTTGGGACTTTCTAAACTGGTGCACAGTTTCAGTCAAATTCTAAGCACCATGACTGACTTGAGAACTAGAAATCTTGGAGAGAGTTTAAAGAGCCACAATGATTACTAATAACCTTGACAAGTTATAGAAATGGGCAGATAATTACAGGATGAACTTAATAGACAGAAATACAGCGTAATTTAGAGGAAGAGAAAAATAAAACACTATAAATACAAGGGTGAAGGCTTGGCTTTATGTGGGAAACATGGGAATTAGTAAGCTAAAAGAAAAACTGGAATTACATATAATTGTTTTATTTTAATTAAAAAAATAAAAATTTGTGGAATATTATATTTAAGAAAATGATAATCTCCTAGTCACTTTTAAAATTTTATATTAAGCACTTATATATGCTAGATACTCTAAGTGCTTGGATAAAATGGGGGAGGTAGGGAAGAACTCCTACCTCTGCGGAGCTCGCAGACTTGTGGTAAATGAAAAAACTAGTAGTAACTTTACTTTTTATTTTGTATTCTATAGCCAACTCCGACTATAGCAAATACTGTGGGCTTCTCGAGATAGGTTCCTATATTGACATTTTGGAGCCCATTCGTGCCTCGAATAGCTCATTGTGAAGTGATCAACTTGGATTAAAAGGTTAAAAATCGGGTCTAAAAGAACTAAAATTTGAAAAAGTAAATACTTGTCAGACCATCACACATGTCAATAGAAAGCCACAGGTTTTCTTTTCATCGCGTAAAAAGTATTTTCGAACCTATTCATGCAGAACAGTTCTTAACACAATGCTTTGTGTATAAAAGGGAAGGTGGGAATGCATTCAAATTGCAGATCGCGATAACTGCAGTGGATATCCCGACTGGTGGCCAGCCTACCCTCCGCGGGTTTGTCTTTTCTTTCCTTTTCTTTTTAGCTGAAAGACCATACGCTTAAGCAGAAGCCACATGGGTGGAAAGCATCGCAAACACAGGGGACAGATACCAGCTCGTGCGCTACGAGCTGGCTGGGGCAGCTCCGCAGGCGCAGCCGACCGGCTCCCACCTCCTTCCGGCGCCGGGAGTCTCAGAGCGGACTAGGCGTCCCCCCAGAGGAAAATCGAAGCGCCGCAGATGCCCCCTCAGAAGAACCAGCGGCCACCCACCAGACCTTGGGGCCTGTCCCTTTTGGGCTCCCCCTGACCATTCTCGCGTGCGCTGCAGAAGGCCAGTGGGGTGCGATTGGGAAACCTGGCGCTCCTGGCCCCAGAGCGCAACCAGTCGCCCGCCCACACGATCCCACAGCTCAGCAGGCCAAGCAGGCCGGACGCCGAGGCCTCGCGGTATTGAGCCTCAATCCGCCCCGCCTCCTCACCCTCCAGCCAGCCCCGCCTTCGCTCTCACCCCTCCCCCGCTCCCGCCTCGTTTCCCCGACAATCTCCTCGCGCTCCCGGCCCGGCACGCGCGCTGCGCCCGTCCGCCGCCGCCGCCGCCGCCGCCGCCACTGCCACTGCCGCCGCGGCGGAGCTTTCCTTCGCGGTGCCTAGCTTCCAGCTTCGGACCGGAACCGGAAGTTGGGGGGGCGGGGCCGGTGAAGGCCAGGGGACCGAAAACGCGGCCGAGCCCGGAGCCCGGAGCCGGAGCCAGAGCCTGGACCAGAACTTGGCCGCCGTCTGCACCGCTGCCGTTGCCGCCGCCCGCCACTCCTACCCCGCGCTGCCGCTGCTTCGGTCGCCACCGCCGCGAGCTTGGTCGCCAGTGGTCCGCGGACTTTGGGTGTCCGGGTTGAAGGTCGGTCCGGACGTCGGACCTAGCTCGGTTCCCGGACTGTCCGGGCAGCAGCGGACGCCGCCGCCGCCGCCGCCGCCTCCTCGTCGCCTCAGCCTGGCGTTTTGTTCCGAGAGACCCGAGAGGCGAGCAGAACTGACAGTGATTTTGACAGTGATTTAAACCCGCTTTTGTTGTTGTTGGCTTTTCGTGGTTTGGTTTTGTGTGTTGTGCTTGTGTGTGGCGGTTTTTCTCCGTGGTGCATTTTTTTTTTTTTATTATTGTGCTTTTTTTTTTAAACCCCGTGAACGTTTTTTTTTTTTTTGGATCGGGGCTTCCGAATATGTTTTATGACGGTTGATTTTACACCAGGAGGTTTGTCTCTGAGGAAGACCCAGGGAACTGGATATCTAGCGAGAACTTGCTACGGATTCCCCGGCGCCTCGGGAAAATGGGAGCTGCTGCAAAGTTGGCGTTTGCCGTCTTTCTTATCTCTTGTTCTTCAGGTAGGTGCTTGGAGCGCGGTGCGGCGGGGCTGCTGCCGCTGCTGCCGCTGCTGGCGGCCACGGTTGTTGTTGGGTCGGCGAGCTTCAGTGGAACCTGGGGACGTTTCCTCCTACTTTGAAACTCCCTCGGCTGCCACCTCCCTGGTCTAATTGTGATCTGCAAACCCGTAAATTTTTCTCGTTTTGAGTTAGGTTGGCCGACTAATGAGTGACTGCTCTGTTGTGGAAGTGAGAAAGTCATGGTTTGTGGCCATAACACTGGATGACAGCGCTGGTTGGGTTGCAATTAAGCCGCAAATACCACAAGTGACAATTTATGCAAAGGCTTGAGACCTGAAAGGCTTATTCCAAAATGCCATTTGGTATACTCTTAAATAAGGGTTGTATTATTATTTTTTTGTCGTCTTTTTAATTAGTGCTTCACTGGTGACTAGAGATCAAGTCAGAGATCAACCTAGATGCTACTTAATTTTGACCGTGAGAAACAATGCATCACCTTAGCAATTTCATCTGAATCTCCCCTCACGTTTTCTTCAACTTCAGTGTCCAGCAGTGTTAAAAATAGTTGTAGTTGTTGTCAGAGTATTAACTATAACCCAGTGCAGAAGAGGTATACTGCTATGTGTTGGTAATGTGCTGGCTTTCAACCACCATTTGTGTGCTCTTTTTTGGCATAGATTTTGCTTACCTACGGAATACTTATTTTAAACGTTTTGTATTGAAGCATTGTTTTCAGTTTAGAACAGCCTGCTTGATTTTGTTCATACTGTCAGATATGCTGTAGTCATAAAACAGGTAGGAAGAATAATCTGATCCCATATTATTATTTGAAATTTTGATTTTGTGAGACTGTTCTCTGCTTGCAACCAGTGGTTGGAGAACTATCTAGTCTTTTGTACTGGAAATTCGATAAATTAGCACAGCATCTTCAAAGGTATTCATGTGTATGTAACATATTTAGGTAGATGAAACAATTTAAAAGTCACAATGGATCTATTTATCGTAAAATTCAATAATCAGTTATTAGACTGTGAGATAGACTCTAAAGGGGATGGGGAGGGGGTGCAAATTGACAGGTTTTATGGCCAGGTCTTTATCTCTTGCCACAGGGAAATTAGAGGGTGGTAGTCTTTTCTTTGTGTACCTCTGTGGGGTGTGTGTGTGTGTGTGTGTGTGTGTCCGTGTGTGTGTGTGTGTGTGTGTGTCCGTCCCTCCCATCTCCCCCTTTTAATAGAATCTTTTGTAATGTATAGAATTTTGCTGAATGGTACATTTCCTTGTGGTTAATAAATGGATAAAGTCTAGTCTTATGTCTGTAGTGGTATTGATCAGTTCCGGGTGGGCTGAATGTGTTGTGAAATGGCGATCATTGCCAGAGATTAACCAAAAGAATCATGTCTGTTTAAATGGAAGAAGGAACATGCTTAAGGCAGGCTGACAGTTCTTTTTGTGCAAGCTTTGGGGAGGAAGATAAACAATGGAGTCTCTGAAATGAATGAAGACCTTAATACCATTAAATCTCTTGCTTATATGACATGTCTTAACCATGTAGTTTTTATTTTTCCTGTTTTACTCTTTCTCCTCTGCCCCTATATGTTCTGGTGGTGGCTTCTCTTGTTCAAATCTCTTTTTCTGATCTGCCCTTGAGGAGGAGGGGCATCATGGCCACTGACCAAGGAATTGTGTACATTATTGCTGTCCCCCACCCCCAACCCACCTGAGTCACACTAATTGGTGGAAGAGGTTATTCTTGAGCAGTCTCAAGGTATTACTTCTGGAAAAGCAGGCTACAGATCTTGCAGCTTTCTCTGCTGGAGCATTAGTTTCTTGTAAGATTATTTTCACTGGCCAGGAGGTTAATAATTAAAATTGTGAAATAGTTATTTTGTTGCTATAAAGCATATAGATATTCCTTACACTAAACTAGTATCACATAGTTACATAGTTTTTAAAAATAACTTTCATAATTGAATTCAAGTTGAAGATAATTGAAATAATCTTTAAGACTTTAATCCATATTTATACATAAAGAATTTTAGTACTTAAAATGCCTGATTTTTTTTTAAAGAGCTTTTGTAAGGAATTAAATGCACCCTTTAAAAGATTATTATGTTTCTTTTAAAATGATTTTTCTATGTAACATGTAACCTGTATGGCTATTTTAGGGGAATCAAAATATTTGTCATTTTTTTGTTTGTTTCTGGCTTTTTTTTAATCGAGTGGAAAGAACAGTAGTGAATAGCATTTAATTACAGGTGTTTGGATATATGTTTATAGTTTCATGTGGACTTTGATTTTTCAGTTTGCATCTGATGGTATGTTCTGGAGACTGATTTTGTAGACTTTTGCTGTAAGATACAGCCAAGTATATAATTTTTTTTCCTTTGGCCTAGGGGAAACATTGTTGAGTTTACCTTCATCTTGAAGTGCCTTCAGGTTCCTTTTGATTTTGAATTTTTTTCATTCTTCTTATTCTTCAGCTTGTTTCAAAACACAAATCTATTTCTGTTGGGTTCTTGTTTGTTTTTAAAACATTGTGGTATCTTTCTCTACAATTTCTTTCTTCATTAATTTCTTAAAATGCGAGAATGAATTTAGTTGCTCTAGTATTTAGGTCTATCCTACCTACCCAATGATGGAGCTGTTGTGGTATGATTTGTATTAAATAAAATTGAAAATTCCTTTGGGTTCTGACTACTGCTTTAGAGCTGGAATTGTGTGGTCCATGTATTCTGTGAAATAATAAAATGATGATTGTATTTTCTTCAATTCACCTAGGCAGTATTGTGTGACTATGAGCATTTCGGTGAGTTTGTGGTTGGAGGGGGAATTGGCAGTACATTGAATCTTCTGGGACTGTTCTGAACTTTGGCTAACCAAGTAAGAGATATTAAATGTTTTGTTTCCTAAAACAGAGTGTCCTAAATGTAATCTGTGATCAAATTAAAATATATTGAGCTACCAAAGTCAGAAAAAAACTACCCATTTTCCCCAATTAATTTTGATTTTTTTTTTCTGTTTATGATAAACTAATAGTTGTCAAACTTGGATAACTTTTGCTTCCTGGTCCCTCTTCATGTAAGTACCCATTCTCCACACTTGGAGACATTTTTGGTTGTCACAGTTCTAACATCTAATGTAGAGGACAGGGATACTGCTAATCACTGTATAACACAAAAAGCCACCTTCCACAACAAAATTATTTGTCTCAATATGTCAGTAGTGTTTAGGCTGAGAAGTACTATTCTGAACCCTTAATTTTTTAAAGTATTAGTACGTCAGTAAAAGAACTCTCTCCTCTTCCCTATCATTCATCTCATTTTTACAAGTTTTTGGTATTGATTATCTCCAGGTCACTGTATTGAGTTTTCTTTCTTTCTTTTTTTTTTTTTTTTACTTTCTTTTAAAATGAGACTATTGGAATTTGGCAGGCACATTTTTTAAGGGTATATACATTATTTCATCCTGTTAGAAATTAATAAAAATATTTTGCTGACTATTAAGTATAAATTCTCTCCATCACTTGTGATGAACTTCTCATAAAGACTGCATATTCAGGGATATGAAGAATGATTGGTCAAGTTATCAAGTTTAATTATATTTGCTTATGATCCAGTAATATGCTTAATAATCATCTTTAAGAATATTCTCTTTGATGATTATTGAAATCACTGGGTGGCATGGCAGCACGTGTGTGTGTGTGTGTGTGTGTGTGTGTTTAACATGGTGCCCGAAAGTATGTCATGTGAGTGTGTATAACATGGTGCCTCAAAGTTTTGTTCATAATGTTTATCATTACATGCCCCCTGAATGATTTCAGGGCGTAATATCAGAGTTACAAAAAAGATATTTCTTTGTGTTTCTAACTTTAATTTCAAGTGATTTTTTTTTTTGATTGCATCATATTCTTGAGAATCATTAGCTGGGTTTTGTTAGCATGGGAGTCATTTAGGTAATACTAAGTAATATTCTATGATCTATCATGGACCCTTGTCCTTTTAAGGTTAAAATTTGACCATAATTAAGAAGTGCTTACCTTGTTTTGAACTCTGATTTTAAAGAAGTAACTTAGTCAGCCAGAATAAGAATTACAGTGAAACTCTTAAAATGAGTAGCACTACTTAATTGAGAGAAAAAATTCTGCTGTCACTCTTTATACAATGTATGCAAATAAGACTCTTACTGTCTCTCTAATTCACTTCCCTTATGCATTTCTCCCATACTATTGGCATTATCACCTTTTTGGGTCTACCAGACTCACTTTTCATGAGAAGTAAAATGTAATTAAATGAGATTTTAATCTCTAAATGGTTCCTTTAGATTATAAACCTATTCTTTTTTCTTTTGTAAGTACTTATTTCTTATCTTCAGTGTCTCATAAGTCTCTGATGTAAATCTGTCTTTTCATGCTCTCTTCTGTTGCCACATGTATGGTGCCTCTCAGTAGTTAGGTAAGATTGGCCGCCTTTGATATTGGGGTCACTAGTTCTCATTCACCTTTTTTTCTATGTTTTATATAACTTGTGATTTTTATTTCCTTTCATTATAGTTCCCTTACCATGTTCCCCGCTCCTTTGCCTTCCTTTTCCCACTCTGTCCCTTCTTTGCTTTCCTATAATTGTAGCTGGTTGCTTTTGGAATCCACTCATTGCTTACCCCGAAGGGTGGCACAGGAGGGCTCACGCATGGTTTAAATGAAACAGATTGAATTTAAAGTGCCTGAGAATTGACTAGGTAGTATTTCCCACTGTTCTTTTTCATTTGTTGTTTTCTGCAATACCACACACATTCCTGGGGGTAGTGTTACTCTCTTGGAATCAAATGGCATGAACTTTAGATTATCTTATTCCATTTTATATACATTTACACACACACACACACACACACACGCACACCTATTTTAACTCTTTGCTGTTTTCAGAAAATGTCTCATTGTTATATGTTCATGGTCTTTGTTTAAGCCAGAATTTGACCAGATCGTTGGGTTTATTTATTGCTAT